CGCTAAAATTCCTACACAACGAGGAATTCGCAGCTGACTCAAGGTCGACAGCTGGAGCTTGAATTGAAGATAGCTTGTGTGGATATTTTATGGAATTGATTCGTCCCAATTTATTCCTGATTGTCACAATTATTAATTTAGCGATTGCTATAACTGGCCCAAGAGGCCCTAATAGGTCAAATAATTTGGAAGCATCTGAAAGATGCGGAAGTCAATACTTTTATCAAAACGTACTAGAATCTCATGTCGATCGCTCACGCCACTTAACAATTCAGGACAATTAGATCGCCACTTGTTAAGCTTGAATGAACCTTGCTCGAGTAATTGAATTACTTGATCGCGAATAGTTTCTGTATCTGAAAATGTGTTAACCCCGTTAATAGGTTAATAGGTCGTTTACATAGAAATCGCGACTGACGTGCAACGAATCTATTGGATAACTATCCACGTATAAGTCAGTTAAATGCTTGAGTCATCTCGTAGCAAAGTAGGACGCGGCAGACGTGACGGTGGTCAATTCATATACTTCGAGATCGGAGTCAGCATCGTTGCGCCAAAAAACTCGAGTTTGTGAGAGGTGAATTGCAATCTGACAATACATTTTAATTATATCGGCTACGTATTTAAAGGTACGAAACCGAATGAGTATTGACGTGAGATCTTGTTGAACAACCGATCCTATTAACATGGTGTCGTTCAATGATAATCTGATTTTAGATTTTTAGAAGATCTGTCAAATACAAGAGCGAAGTTTAGGACTCGCAGGAGAGTCCTTAAAAACACAGTGATGAGGTACACAGTAGATAATAAGATTCGAATTCTGATGGCTGTTCAGTTATTAATTTCATGTGCCCTAATGCAAGGTACTCGGCCATGAAATCGGAATATTGTTTCCTTAAGCTCGTATTATCGCGATTGAAACGTCTCTCTAATGCAAAAAATCGTTTTAACGCAACGGATCTAGAGTCACCTGGTCATATCTTGCTTGAGAGGCAGTTTAACTATGTATCTACCGTAATCATTTCTAGTAACGTTTGCTAGGAAATATTCCTCGTAAAATCTCTGCTCGATTGTATATAGAATGGAAGCGTTGTTAATATCGTCTAATTGCCAAATTTTAGCGATCTGATTATGCAGATCAAGATTACTTATTGAAGCTTGAAGTGATTGCACTGTTCGAACGCGAGTCATAGAAACGTTTATTCGACCCGCCAAAATCCAGCCAATCTTGTCTTTTGTAGTTTCGGATGCTCGCTAGAAATCTTGATACATATGAGATTCCAAAAAATCTCTACATCGACTAATATATCGATTTTTGAAGATACATAAAAATTAGGATCGGCTAGTTGAATGTTTTGTGTAATTTAAAGACTGACCGTACCAAAATGAAAACTAAAAGTCTCTGATACACGGTTAGTAACAACGCATTCAATAGTGACTGAATAAGACTCACTCTCGAACTTAATTTTATTTGAACTGCTTAGTGAGAGTATGTGGTAGTGCCGTTTATGCCTGAAATGGCAATGTTCACTGGACGTGATTCTAATTTCAAAGAATTTAAACAATCGCGCGAGACAAAATTGGCTTGGGAGCCAGAATCTAACAAGACTCGACAGAACTTTAGCGAATCGTCTTTATTTTGAACGCTATGGCAATAGAACGCAGTATATGCTCGTTGTTAGTAATATTTGAGACGTGAGCGACCACTGCATCCGAGGTGTATGTAGAAGCTGATTCACGCGCAGAAGATTCCTGTTCGTCGACCTCACCTCAGATTTAGGCTGAGCAGAAGGTATTGAAATATGTAACAATGTGTTGTGTTTGCGAGAACATGTTCTGCAATTTCCAGATGGACACTTGTTGGCAGCATGGGAAGTTGATCGAAGACAATTCAGACAAATCCTCCGTGAGCGAAGCTCCGCTATCCGTTTGGATCGATAGAGTTAAAAATTGTTTACAATGACAAATAGAATGTTCTCCTTGACAATAATAACATTTGATGTTGATAGATGCGTTACGATGTTTTCTGCTTGTTATTCGCATGATATTGCGAAGACGCATTTTTCGCAAAAAGATTTGACGACTTGCCCATAGATTCGAGAAGCTGGCAATAATAGGTTAAAAACTTGAGAAATTATTTTAAGGTGGGCAATTCAGAGCCCGTGAGAGAAGATTGCCATTCTCGCGCTGCGGCTGTATCAAGCTTAGAGCTAAGCAGGAAAACTAGGAGATCATCCTAGACATCGATAGTACGTTTTAACTCCCATAACGCATGAATATGCCGCGTGGCATCCATCTGCGATCTGTAACGCATTCTCTTTCAACATAACTGGTAACTCGAGAATGTGCCTGAGATGATTTTGAACAATAACTCGCTTGTTATCGTATCTTTACTTTAAGAGATTCCACGCAACATAATTCGCATCTGATATTTCGAGAGAGTTTATTACCTTGCTTGCGTCATCAACAAGAGCGGTTTTCAAATATTGCAATTTATGAATATTACTGAGTGATGTATTCGACTATAATAGCGTGAAAGGTATCATGAAAAAGAAACCACTCATCGTATTTCCCAGAAAATTTGGGGGAGATTAAGTTTAAGTAATCTGACATTAAGGAGCGATTCCGATCAGAGTCACTCGACGGTGCTGGCGAAGCCCTCGTAGAATTACGATGGACAAGCGCATCTCACGTCAAATTCCGTATGCGAGCTGCTAGACTAAAAAGCTTCCTCAAACGCGATTCTATCAGGAGCCTCGGTTTTATCTTGCTATTCAATCTGCATTTGAACATTATTATACTCGGACCAATACTGATTTAACCTTAATTTACGTTCTTCAAGTTCCGACAGATTTACGGAAGATTGAATGTTTTCTACGTAATTCGCGTACAGAATCGCCTTAACGGTAGATCGACGCTTCTTAAGAGCGATTATGTCTAAATTTATTATGGAATGGAGGTTATATATATTATATGTCAAACGAATAGGCAATAGCACTCTGATCGGTGAATAGAATAATGGCTTTCTACTCAGGTACTATAATTATACTTATGCACTAGAAATGCGTGGCATTGCATCCTTGTCGCGAAAATAGCACCGACGGTTCGTTGATACGGCTGCTGATGTTCCTTGAATTTCTCGTACTGGGTTGATTCAGAGGCAGGTTGCGAAATATATCGGTTGCTGCGAACCCTGGATTGAAGCTGATCCGTTGAGATCGTCTCGTTGGCACGACGTGGAAAGGGAAAGGCTTAATGCTGATAAAGACACTGGCCTTGTGTCTTAGAAAATAGCGGCAAAACAACGCTTATTTGATGAAGCGATAGCTTATCTCGAGGCGTGTTCGGTGACAAACAGATTGCCGAAATCCGGCTCGAAGGACCAAGAATGTGTTGATGAATGTTGAGAGACGTCCGCCTTGGCTCAAACGAACGTGCATTATGTATCGCATTTCGATGGCGGTCAAATCCCGTTCACGCAGTGCTTATCAATGTAATTTCTCGAAAGCGGCGTGATCATTTGTCTTTCAGTTTAATTTTTTCTTTATTCACTTCCCGAATAGCGAGTCGATTTTATAACATGCTTCGTCAAACGATACTTGTATCCACGACTAGCCGTACAGAAGTTGGCGGTAGCATACATAGTTCAGTAGTTAATGGCGGACAAGACGCACAGAGAATGTACGAGAAGAAGGCGCGCAATAATACAAGAAAAACGCGCGTAGTGATACAAGGACGCGTCGCGTACATACAACGTTCAGCTTGTCAGTAACGCAGAAATTAATAAATTGTAACGGAGCTCGATAACAAGGTAGAACATTTTTATATCCCTAACAAGGAGATTCTGTTCTCGAGTAGCACTAAACTTTTTTTTCTTTCATAGAGTAAACGTAAGTAATGTGAATTTTAAATTTTATTGTAGTGAACGTAATCTCAATTTCAATCTCTGCAATTGATGGCTTGCCAGAGTGAACGTAATTTTTGTTTGTGTAAGTATTATCTTTAACTTTTCAAAGTTTCTGCAGTTCAACTTGTGTATTTGATTTCATTACAAATGTATAGAAGATCGGAGACATCTTTTTACTGGCAATTTTTGAGTCTCATGTGCGGAAAGAAGTTACTATTGCGGTATAGCGCGGGTATTCCACTACAGATGCCTGAAGTCCTAATTGGTCGTAGATTGCTTCTTCTCGAATCGACAACAGATGCTCAAGGATTCTTTCTTTTATCTGATTAATTTACTCAATGTAACTATTAATTTTTTTATCTAGTTTACATCAGTCATTCCAGCCTAGCGGCAAATCATAGAGATTGCAATTGAGATTGCGTTCTGTTATTCACTACAAGAAAATTAAAAATTCACGTTTGTGCGTGTGTGTGTGTGTGTGTGTGCGTGCGTGTGTGTGTGAAAAATTTGGTCGGTGGTTAAGAACAGAATCCCCCTTAACATAATCCCGAATATTAAATCTCTCTGGTTAAACATAACTAACTCTATACTAAAGTCGTTCATGGAGTTTGTTAACAGTATCGCGCTATTGGCTCCACGAACAGCATTGGTAGCGTTTGCATTCATAGCGTGAATAACATCTCTCCGAACATACCTTTTGTTATTTCGATTATCGTATCATTTTAACAACTCAATAAATGGTGTCATAGATAGTGGATCGCATTCTGAAAATTTTTGCGTGTTTTGAAAACCATCGAAAAAAAGTATAACAGCCTTAAAGAGCTTTCCAACAAGCGACACTGTGCTGCGACACGATGATCACTCCATCTCTGTTTAACATTGGCGAACAACAAGGATGCAACGATTCACGATGCCACATCGTGTCATCTGTATCTTTTGTTGGAAAGCTCCCTTAGTATTCATGACTGTGTCACAATTTAAATAGTAAGCGTCGGTACTTTTGATGTTGAGGTTTGCAAAATACGTGATTTATCACTACATTCTTGAAAAAAGCGCCATATTTCAAAAAATAAATACCATAAAATTAAAAAATATTAAAAGTAAAATATTAATACTAGAAATTAAAATGCCTATAATGGTCGAAGCTGGAATGGTCTTCATTGCTTAAATAATTCAATCTCGAATTCCTATATATTATACATCATATATGTACTTGCATATATACCATATTGTAGTCTTTCGAACTGTTATATGAAAACGATGTTATATTATATCGAACTGAATATGTTGAAAAACTTAAGGCTTCCACGAGTGCTTTCTATATAAAGATTATGCGTTTCGCGGGTTTCCTGCGTGTCCAGATCCATTCTTTGAATGCTAACGTTTCGTGAACCTTGCAATCCTTCATCAAGGCGAGAAACAGCCTGATATTGTACAGTAATCTTTATGTTGAAAAATTTAATAAAAGACCTCGTCCAAAACATACGAAAAATAGGTGCCGGCTAATTTGGCTGAATTTATAATATGTTGTAGTTCTGATCGTCCTGATCAAAAGTCTCCGTGGGCACGAAGTTAAATAATGTACAATAACTCAAAAATTGTTTCATTATTTTACTTACCAAATTAGCTGGGACCCATTTTCTATATGTTTTATGCGAGGTTCTTTATTGCGAAAAATATTATCTTGGCCGGGAGCCGAATTTGGATCTCTCTGTACAAGTATTCCGTACGAGCGTCCTAAATCTTTAGACTACCGAGGCCTTAATAATATTCTTCGCAATAATTCGGTACATGTAAGGAAACAACGTCTTTCTTTCAAGCGACGTAATATAAACAATATTAAGAATCTTTATTTTAGACCGCATATGTGAAAACATTATACCTTCCGAAGTAATATTTTTCGTAATAAATTTATTAATAATTTTTCAATATATTAATATCTTTATAATATGATACCTGATTGTAGCAAATTATTAGAATGGTTGTCAATTTAATTCGCGATTACTAGAGTAATTTAATTGCGTTTAGTTCGAAAAAAAAATTGAGCGCGCAGTTCTAAAAAGACTACAATATAGTATATATGCAAGTACATATATGATAAATAGTAATTCAAGATTAAATTATTTAAGGTAATACACTCGTGAATTGAAAGTATTCAGAATGACTTGAATTTATATATTGTACTAGACGACGTTGACACGCTTGTGCAATTATAATGAGATTGACCATTTCAATACTGAGATATAAGCAATTAAAAATTGCACATTTTATACGCCTCTACAAAATTCATGAAAATGTTGCGTTTATTTTTGCAGGACCTAAATTAAAGTAATGAGATGTTAACAAAAAACGAATATGTGATAGGGGAACTTAAAATGGATATTGTAAAAAAATTCCATAATTTTTAATCATTTAATTTGGAAAATAGAGCCATGAAAAGAATACAATTTTCGATTTTATTTGACATATGGAACTGAAGGACGACTGAAGGAAGCAGTCAGTGAATATATGGCAACACCGCATTTCTCGCGTATATCAGGGCGTTCAGGGTTCGTATGATGGACAGGTTGCATGGATGGTGAGCTTACAGTTCGATCTGACATTATAACCTATGTATCTTGCAAGGTATTTTTTCTATTTATGATAACCTTACGTATTCATTACAGGACTATAAGTATAAGAATTTACTGTAGGTATTAATAAAATGAGAAATATGTATATACATAACGAAAACAATACAAAAAAATATCAAAATATGAGTAATCTTCAAAAGTATTATGTTTATTATTCCGCAAAACTTTTTGAAGTAATACTTACACATTGTTAACACACTACCGTCAAAAAGTTTAAAACCAAGTCTTAAGGATTATGACTTAAGACTTAATTTTATGTTCTTTTTATTAAAAATATCCGCAAGTCCAATTTTATTTTTTACTGCAGCATGACCCTGAAGGTATAATTAAATAAAAAAACAATTACCAGAATTGCACTATTTATTTTATAATTTTATCATAAATTGTATTTAAGATTATATCACATTGGGATCCTAAATTTTCTGATGGTAATGTAAATTTGTTGATATTTAAGTAAATACTAAAAAAAAAAGTAATAAATAAATAAAAAATAAGAATAAAAATAAAATGTAAATGAAAAATAAATTGAAAATATATAATAAAAAACATAATAAAATAAAAAAGAACATAAACTAAAAAATGTAATAAACTAAAGAAAGTAATAATAAACTAAAAAGCACATCACATTGCTGCCAAAGCCAAAAGTGAAATATGAAAAATTAAAGATGTTATAAAATCAGTTTTTTTATGATCTGACTGAGATTTTAAATGTCTATTAACAATTT